TTAGAAGTTAAACCAAAAGATAGAAATAGAAATTGCAGATGGAAGAATCACGAGTATAGATGAAGCCTATGAAAATTGCTCCTTAGAAATAGACGGACATTATTTCACTATTAAGCTTCTACCAATGCTTATTAGTGAATTTGATGTTGTTATAGGCATAGATTGATTATCAGAAAATCAAGCCCATATAGTTTGTCACAAGAAGATAGTGAAAAATGAAAATAAGGATGGTAAGGAAATAATCATTTATAGTAGTCACAAAAAGAATCCCTTCAACTTTATCTCAGTTTTAGAAGCAAGGAAGTGTATACGTAAAGGATGTGAAACTTATTTAGCATATTTGATAAACACAAAGAAAGAAGGAAAACAAATAGAAGAAGTGCCAGTAGTCTATGAATATCCAAAGGTATTTACAGATGAATTACCCAGACAACCACCTGATAGACAAGTGGAGTTCCATATTGACCTAGTACCTGGAGCAGTACCCATAGCACGAGCACCATACATTTGCACCATCCGAGATGCAAGAACTTTTAAAACAACTATAAGAATTGCTTGACAAAGAATTTATTCGTCCAAGTTCGTCACCTTGGGGAGTGCCAATACTCTTTGTCAAAAAGAAGAATGGAACTATGAGGGTGTATATCGATTACCAGGAACTCAATAAGGTCACGATAAGAAACCGATATCCCTTACCATGTATAGATGATTTGTTTGATCAGTTGCAAGGAACAAGTTTCTTCTCAAAAATAGACCTACGATCAGGATATCATCAGTTAAAGGTATGGAAAGAAGACATCATGAAAACAACATTTCGAACACGATATGGGCATTATGAGTTTCTAGTCATGCCTTTTGGCCTGACAAATGCACCAGCTGTATTTATGGATCTTATGAATCGGTTATGTAAGTCGTATCTAGATAAATTCATCATAGTATTGATTGATGATATTCTCATTTACTCCAAAAGACAAGAAAAACATGAGCAACACTTGAGAATGACTTTGGAACTATTAAAGCATGAAAAACTTTATGCAAAATTTTCGAAGTGTGAATTTTGGATTCGAGAAGTCTAGTTCCTAGGACATATTATTAATGAAAAAGGTATAATGGTAGATCCAAGCAGGATCGAGTGCATAATGAAATGGGAAACCCCACGATCAGCAACTGATGTACGAAGTTTACTTGGATTAGTTGGATAATATCGACGATTCATTCAAGACTTCTCTAAAATAGTAACTCCACTTGCAGCATTAACAAGAAAAGCTTGCAGGTTCGATTGGGGAGCTATGTAAGAAGCGGCTTTTCAATCTTTAAATAATAAGCTATGTAGTGCACCAGTGTCAAGTCTTCCCCAGGGAATAAAAGACTTTGTAGTGTACAGCGACACATCTAAACAAGGCTTAGGATGTATGCTTATGCAAAAAGGTAAAAGTAATTGCCTCCGCATCACGCCAATTAAAGGAACACGAGAAACGATACACACCACACCACATGATCTGGAATTAGTTGCAGTAGTTTTTGCTTTGAAAATTTTGAGGCATTATTTGTATGGTACAAAATATGTACTCTACACGGATCATAAAAGCCTCAAGTATTTATTCAATCAAAAAGAATTGAACATGAGGCAAAGGCGTTGGATAGAATTATTAAACGCCTATGATTGTAAAATCAAATACCATCCAGGAAAGGCTAATGTTGTAGTAGATGCCTTAAGCCGGAAAGAGCCAACTAAACTCATTCGAATTAAGGCATTAAATTTGCCACCTACAAACACCTTGTTAGAAAAGGTTCAAGAAGCACAACAGGAAGCAATAAAGCAAGACAATCAGAAGGGAGAAAGGATTTCCAGGCAAGCTAAATTGTTGGAAACTAATGATAAAGGAATCAAAAGGTTTCAAGGACAAATCTAGGTTCCAAGAATAGGCAACTGTAGAGAAGTAATTATGGATTAAGCACACAAATCCAAGTATTCAGTCCACGTTGGAACCTATAAGATGTACAAAGACTTAAAAACTTTGTATTAGTGGCCAGGAATGAAGAAGTCTATGGCTAATTACGTCAAAAAATGTCTTACGTGCTTAAAAGTTAAGATTGAACACTGAAGACTCTATGGACAGTTACAGCCGCTGGACATTCCTGTTTGGAAATGGAAAGATATCAATATGGACTTTGTTACAAGGTTGCCAAAAACACCAAAAAGTTTTGATGCTATATGGGTTATCGTTGATCGATTAACCAAGGCAACACACTTTTTGCCAATAAGAGAAACAAAAACCTTAGAAACATTAGCCAAAATGTATATTGACGATATTGTTTCAAGACACGGTGTACCAATATCAATTGTGTCAGATCAAGATCCTTGTTTTACTTCAAATTTTTGGAAGAGTTTCCAGAAACAGTTGGGATCACAGATCAAAATGAGCATGGCATATCATCCTCGAACTGATGTCAAAGTGAAAGAACAATTCAAACATCATAAGATATGTTACGCACATGTGCTATTGACCTGAAAGGTCATAGGGATAACCATCTACCTCTTATCGAGTTTGCTTATAACAACAATTACCATAGTAACATCAAGGCATCCCCATATGAAGTTCCATATGGAAGGAAATGCAAAACGCCCATTTGTTGGATGGAAGTTGGCGAATAGCAACTAGCTGGACCCGAAATTATCCAACAAATTGCGGATAAGGTTACTCAAATAAGGGAAAGACTCAAAATCGCACAAGATAGGCAGAAAAGCTACGCTGACAAAAGAAGAAAGCCTATTGAATTCCAGGCTTGTGACATGGTAATACTAAAAGTATCACCTTGGAAAGGGGTTCTACGTTTTGGCAAAAAGGGTAAATTACGACCACGATATATTGGGCCCTATAAAATAATTGAAAAGATAGGAGAAGTAGCATATCAACTTGAATTGCCAGAAAAATTAAACGGAATACAAAAACTTTTCAAGTGTTCAATTTAAAGAAATGCCTTGCCGAAAGGGAGGTCGTGATTCCGGTTGAAGAAATTGTTGTTAATGACAAACTCAATTTTAAAGAAAAGCCTATAGTCATCGCAGAACGTAAAGTTAAGAAGCCTTGAAATAAAGAGGTGTCATTAGTCTTAGTTCATTGGGACTGCCACCATGGAATAGAATCATGATGGGAAGTAGAATCTGAAATCCGAAATAAGTACCCATACTTTTTCGAGTAAAAATTTCGAGGACAAAATCTCTAAAAGGGAGAGAGAATTGTAATAGCCCTAATTTTCAGCCAGGTATATAGATATATACATATCTTTATCATAATTTCTTATAAAGTTAAGTTGTTTCTAAAGGCCCTTGATATAAGAACTAAAACAAGGTAAATAATATCTTTTTAGTGAAAAGAACTATTAATTATAGAGATAAATAAGTAAGCAAGCACACACATAGCTTACTAAGCTACTTATAAACAAACAACATGAGCCATAAAAATCTTATGACAAAGCAAGCCTGGAGAATGAGTTGTAAGAGAAAAAGAATGTGTGGCAACCCTAAAAGCATTACAAGGCAAGGCTAGGAAAGAAGACGAATGAACAAGTACATATGTGGCATATCCTTAGAAATTTACGAGTTGAAAAACTAAGTGAACAAGTACCTTAATCGTACCTTACACCCTATAAATAAAAGCTTAAAGTGCTCATTCTTTTTCATTCCAAGATTTGGAACATTACCTTAAAGCATAATAAAGACTAAGATGTGAGTTAGAAAACCCAAACCATAGTATAAATAAGGTGAGTACGTTATTAGATTTACTGGGATACATACATGTTATATGCTATATATATAATGTTTTAGGCATGAAAGAGTATTGTCATATCTTCTTGTAAAAGTTATGTTATGATAACGTGACAAAGTACACCTTTTATGTCATGATGCACATGTGGTATATGGAAGTTTTTATACATGTTAAATATCCAAAGTACGGGATATAGAAAGAAGATACATCTTGCAAACGGACCTTATTGGACAGGCCTTATGTGGACCCGAGGTTAAAGAACCTGTGAGAAGTTGTTTTACTTAACATGTAACCATGAGATCTCAAAGAATTGTTTTTATATATGAAAGTTTATAAGAATTATTTTAACTATTTGGAAAGAATGTTTTATCATGAAACCATAACTACTCACTAAGCTTAAAGCTTACGTATTCATGTATGTATCTCAGGAACTAAGGAGTAGGAACAAGTTGAAGTATTTTTCTAAGATGTTAGAATATTATAAGTTGTAAATTTCCACATTTCTGCTGCTGTAACTAATGAAATAAAAGTTTAAGATATGATGTTTCTTTCATTCACTTGTACTAAGGGCAAAGAAAGATACCTCCAAAAACAGGATGTCACACTTAATAAAAAAGTTTTAACACAATATTTCAAAAGTGTCCTGATAAACTTGTCAAGCTGCCCAAATATTGTAAAGAATAATTTTGAAATAGAACATCTTATTGATCTTTTTTACAGCATTATTTGAAAAAATGTCGTGCAAAAAACAAGTGTGATATAAAAAAGGTGTATTAGAACACTTCTCAAAAGTATCATAAAAAAGCTAAACACATTTCAATTAAAAAAAAGCTTGTTAGGATGCTCAAAACCTCCTATTATCCTATTGTAACACCTTTATACAAGACACATAATTATTTAATTATATAAACTTTAGGTCTTATGAAGCAGTCTATTTTGACGTTTATAAAACCGATTTTGTGGTAGTTATCCACCCAAAGGTGGGGTCCGGGGGTGAGATTTACATAAACCATCTCTACCTTCAAAGGTAAGGGGAGGCTGCTGTGTATAAGATTAAATCAACAAAGAATTGTCTACCAGATATGAATGTTGTTAGCAATAGCAACACAATCCAGCTTACAAAATTTTCACCAGGTTCAGTTCTTGGATAATCTACCCACTAGCAAAGTCAAATTGGGATCTTAGATGCTATTGGATACAAAAAAAATATTGGAATTTGGGTACCTCGAATCAATCTTGTTTTAAAGCCTTTGCGATAATAGCTTTAACGATCACGATTAAAAGGTATGACAAAGCTGTAACGACAACACCAGCCATTAAAATCAGGCGATCGTAAGCAGCACCCTGGACTGAGTAAACACGAAGACCAATTACATTCCAATTGCTCTCTGCCCACACGGGATCCGCTGCTCCCATGAGATCCGAAGAATTGGGAGGCAACACACTCCAGGTACCAGACTCGTATTTCAAGCGAGTGGAATAAGCAGGAACGTACCTAAAATGGTAACTTTTTAGTTTGGTCTCCAACTTATTGAGAAAGGTTAGTGAAGTAGAGTTGAGTTCCGGTGTGAGAAGCGTAAGAAGATATCTCCCCCTTTAGATCAATCCTAATTGAATGTTAACACTAATGAGGTGCACCGAGATGCACCAACGGAATTCATGGATGGGTCTGACATTAAAAGTGATTTAAGGGTTCCGATCTCTTTTTACGCTTCTCACCATAACTTCCATTCTCATACGATCCTTCGCCTAATAAAGTATTGGATAACTATAAGGCAAAAGGCATCAAAATATAACAAAGTTTGGTTTAGTTCCTGTTTACTGTAACGAAGAATTTTTTTTTCTCAATCGATGTAACAAAGTTTCAAATTTCCTAATATGTACCCATTTTGACATGTGACATAACATGTCGATATAACATTTGATGACGTGGATACCCTGTTTAGGAAAGGATTACAATAAGGGTGACATAAACGTGGCATCCATGTCATTAAATGTTAACAAGATCAGCAGGTTACCGATGCTAATTGGTATAAAATAGAAAATTTTGAAACTTTGTTACATTGATTGAGAGTAATTTTTTTGGTCACACTAAATAAGAACTAAAACAAACTCCATTGCAATTTGCCATTAAATATAAGAACAATTTCGTGAACATAAGAAATGTGAAGAGGCATATACACTTCCACACTACTAATTCAAGCAGATCATATCTCTTAATTTTGAATTACCACATATTGTGGGAAGGAAGACTTCTTTACGCTGCACAATTAAAATTTTAAATGTACCAAGTTTCTTTTTGAAATATATAAATTTTATATACAACAATTACTCACGCACACTCCTTGCATTTGGTGAGATTTGAACCCTTGACCTCCTGGGAGGTTTGGCTCTACCGGTAACCTAGGTACCACTAGGCCAATGGCCCTTTGGTATAAACAGACCGAGTTACCAAGTTGTTGTTAACCCAATTATATCTATGAATCTCTACAACCCATAGCTTGTATTGTGAGCTCAAGTCTCATTAAAAACATCAGCGTATCAGTTTATTGACAATTAAAATAAAACAACCTAAAGGAAACTCGATAAATCTAGCTATTACTCCCTTTGTTCCAAAACAAAAGTTGCAACAATGTTTGTTGTTGTACATTCCATATTCATTGCAACATTTCCTTTATTTCACAAGTTTTCAAGCTATATCACACCTATTTGGGCATAATAATGATTACAAGTATTGAAGATATTGTTTTTGGTCCACATTATTCCCTATATTTTTTTTATGTTATTGGATGGTATTTAAAATATTTAGCTATAATCAAACAGCTATGATGCTAACGAGACAAATTAATCACTGAACAACTCTCCCATGTCGTCCCGCCCGTGAACGACTTTAGCAGAGTGTAAGATGTATGCAAACAAGAAACCACCAACCTACTTGAAGACTTCCTCCCCCC